AAAAAAAAGCAAAATTTAGGTGATAAATATGTAAATACATGAGACTTGAATGATATTTATATAGAAGCCACTAAAATAAAATTGATTATTTTTTAAAATACTTAAAATATCTAAAATTATTTTAAGTAAATATTTTTTAAACGAGTTAATTTATTTTTGAAAACAACAAAAAAAAATATGTAAAAATTATATTAAATAAATATAATTTAAATTTTGCAAAAAAACAAAATTATTTTCAAACAAACCCCCTAGTAAATATGTTAAATATCTTGAAAATTACTGCCAACAAAATATTGGAACAGAAAAAGCTTCTAAAATCAAAAGAAGACTAATCAATATCTAAACAAACAATATATATTGGAATGGCATCAATTATAAAACATATAACACAACACCTTACAAATAAATGATCATTATTGTGAAATCAAGTTATTCGATTCCACTCATATAAAGAGAATAATTTAAAAATAAAGAAAAAACACTTAATATTCTTAAAAGGGGCATTTACAAACATTCCAATTCCTCTGTATCAACATATCTAACATTTAAACTTAATTTTTACATTAATATCGCCAAGTCTTTCGCATCATATCCAAAATACTATCATTTTAACTTTCGGAAAGTGAAAGTCATCTTTTCATAAATAGATAGCATGGCAGCTACCAATCAAGTCAATTAAATGAAATGAAATTGATCGGATATATGCATTTATAGCTAATTTAATATCTGGTAAAAATAACAATACTACAACATATGGTGTTAAAATAGCATAAGAGAACATTCAAAAAATGATAAAGACGAAGTCTGGTATTTACAGAAACTTAAAATGTTGCTTTGCAGAACTGTAACAGCTTGCCAGATTTCTTATAATCAGAGAGAGAAGCTCCAGAATTTGCTGTGCGGTAAGGCTCAAATGTTCTCTATTTGAAGCTGCCTGAGAGAAGCTGGACCAACAAGAAATACGCGCCTTGAAGTTTTATACCGAAAGACGACAACACCTTTATATGCTGTCCTTGGGATGCCATCCTGGAAAAGAAACGAATTTTTTTTCTAAAGATATCAGAAATAAAGAAAATAGAGGATGATAGCTTCCAGAGGTAAAAGATGCTCAGGATTAATAAAAAGAGCAGTGAAGCACAATCAATATTTCAGTTCGATTTTATTTAAATTTATTTAAAACTAGAGGTTAAAAAAAGCAGTGTTAATTCAAAGTGTTTGATGAAATGAAAATTTTTTTCGCCAAGTGTTTTGGATATTGTTTAATGCAGAGGGTCAGTAGGTCAGCGCGGCAAAATTTGGGCAATAATTTCCAGCCTTCCTATCATTGTAAATTTAGGAAAAATTACATAAATACCACTCAATTCTTATGAATTTACATACCTAACACGTGCACTTTAATTTTTAGATATTTGACACCCAAGCCTGAAAACATGTTTTTCACTTCATAAGTCAAAATACTATTACTTTTGATGTGATATAAAAGATTTGGGTGGTCTAAATGTAGAAAGTACTGTTTAGATGTTAAAAATGTTAAATACATATAGATGATATCAAAACCTGGCCCGAGGGTTTCAAATTTTAAAGTCGGAAACAGACAATTAGAGGTGAAATCTTAACTACAGTAACTTCTGGAAAAGAAGACATTATGTATCTTTGTTTTTTATAAGATGTTCTAGAAAATCATATAATAATCTATATAAAACATACAAAGATATTTTCTCATAAAAAGAATTTAAAATTTCTATTTGCATTAAAATTTATTTTTATCTTTTAGTGCACTTCTTAAACTTAATTTATACATCTATCTTAGGAGGACCGTTTAAATAAAACCTAGTATACCATTGGTCGATGCATATCCGTCAGCACAGCGAAGTGCAGACAAAGTCTATTATTTTTTGAGAAGCAAAGATACCAACCCATCCCTAATCGACATTCTCCCTCGACACAACGGGCGCAAACTAGACCTACTATTGTATGAGGTGGAAATGTACCTACTCACCCCTGATTGATTTCTCTTGTCAGCATAGCAAGCGGTTCATGATCTAAATTATACGATTATATGAGGTGATAGAAAAGCATCTATGTGCACGGGTACATCAGCTTCCCCTATAAGTACCATAAGAGAGCAAAGTCTTCTTAGCATGCACATATAATGATTCATATATGCACTACTTTCATGCTTCTTAACATGCATTTATTTCTTATGAAATACTTCATATAAATTTACTATTGAATAAATGCACATCAACTAGAATCTAAATATCATGAAATAATTTAATCTTCCTAGGAAAACTATTGTGAAATTGTTTGATCAAAAATGTTAACATTCACGTTTTTTGTTTAACAATCTGAAGAATAAGTGATAGTCTAAGTCTCAATGGTAAAGAGTATAACTGTGAAAAATTGAAAACAAGAATATATTCAAAAGAACGAAATATTATTATAATGTAGAAAAAAAATTACGGAGGAGTTGAGCACAACGATTTGTTAACCAAATTTTTTATATTAAAAACTATTGAACATTATCTCCAATTACAAAAAATATAAAACAAGATTATAATCCGAAGAACGAAATATTATTATAACGTAGAAACAAAGTTATGGAGGAGTTGAGCACAATGATTTGTTAACCAAATTTTTTATATTAAAAACTATTGGACATTATCTTCAATAACAAAAAAATATAGTTTACCGTGGCCTCAGTTCTATGCTACAACTAAAAAGAAACCAATCACTGCAGCAACCCAATTCCAAATTGAACAATGGCTGAAACATAACACCCCTCCACGCAAAATTGCCCAACCGCACTCAACACAGCTCCATCTAAACTTTCTCTATTGGCAAATCGCACGAAGCTACCTTGGGTGACATCATTACATCGAAATATGCCGCCTCAAATTGCCATTAAAGAAGACCAAAAGCTACGGCTTTCCCTATAAATCTGTCGCCTCAAATTGCATATTCCTTTCTCTAAGGGTTTGTTTGGGCGGGGGGCGGCATTTTTTTTTTCTTCTGCGTTTGGTTCGGCGGTCCTGTCGCCACTTCCTGCGATTCCGAGCAAAAGTTGGGCAACGAGGTAATAGGCCCGGCTCAGCTTCGTGGACGCAATTTTTACTCCCTTGCCCCTTTGCCCTATCCCGCGAAAGAGAAGCCGCGAGCTTCTTCCCTTCCCCTCCTCTTCTCCGGCCAGTGACAGTTCCTGTTCTCATGATCTCCTCACAGGAAGGGTAAGAAAATTTTATCTCATGCGTTCCTATTGTCATATGGTTTATGTTCCTGCTAGATTTGGAATTTGGTTTTATCACCCCAGATCTGTTGCTGCGTAAAATGATTTGGAATTTGGAGAGCAATTTGGGGTTATGTTGCCTATTAGATCAGCAAAAATGATCCCCCCGTGGCCCTATTTTAGCATTCCTGTTAGATGTGGTGTTGGGTAAAATGATTTTGGAAGTTGGTTTCTTTAGAAGGGGAGACATCCCTTTATTTTTGGCTTTGTTTTATGTTTTGATCGGTATTTAATAATATTATTTAAATTAATTAGTTCATTAAAAATATTTAAAATCCTAAATTGAAAATATATTTAATATGATCATGCCACCCAATATAAGAGAATTCATCTAACAAGTCATTTATTTCATATATTTACATATCTAACAGCTGAACTTTTAACATAAATTAATCAATCCCATATTTAAAAATTTCTAAGACTTAAATTTATTACATAACAATAATTAATTAATTATCTAACAATTACATTTGTTACATATTTAACACTTTGAAGTTTCCATAATTTATTACAAAATAAATTTTTCTTATGGAGTTTCAAAAATTTGACTGTTACAGTTTTCTTTTAAACAGTTTTACCAAACAAAAACAGAATAATCATTTTTCCAGAAACAATTGGTCTATAGCTGTTTTCACAAAGCTGCACCAAACAAACAACCATCTTCCCCGCAGCAGCTTTCTGGAGCAGCATAGCTGCAGCTAAAAAGCTAAACAGAGTCTAAGTCACCAACAATGAGTCATTGTCCCCCTTCTACACCAAGAGCGACAGAGTTGCAACCACTAGTCTTCCTCCCTTCTCATGACCCAGCCTGAGAACTTTAAATTTTCAAATTGGGAACAGATAGACAAACTGTAGAGTTATACTATTCTAATTTTTACAACAATCCACAACAAATCCAAATAATAAAGAGCAAATAAACCACAACTTCTAAACCATCCAATCATATAAAAATATCTAATTTGCAACAACAATTCAATAAATAAATTTATCAAAAGATAAAATATTTTTTGATAGTTATTCTTATTAGCTCATCTAATTCTGTAAATATATTATCTCATGTAAGTCATTTAATTAAAAGTAGTTTTCTCTGAAATGAATATTTAAATAACAGATTACATTATAGAACTTGGTGATCAATTATAGTTTTACAACATATTAATTCATTTATGCATATGCTCTATCATGAATGTTATTTAAAACTGAATTTATATTCATATTTATTTTATTAAACTTTACAACATTTACATTTTAATTTTTTATGAAGTTATCTCAAGAGCATAATTTAAATTGTTAAAACACAACTCAAGGGCTTGGAATTTTTGAAGACAATAAAAGACAAAACATTAAAAAGAATATTTTTAAATTTTTAATACCACACTAAGTAATAAATTAAATCATCCAAATAACATTGAAATATCCACTAACGATTAAATAAATCTAAAAAAAAATCAATTATGATTATAATTACTTCTTTAAGTTCGATTGTGTCTTCTATAAATTTCTCTTTAGTCTCTCATCTTCAAGTCAAAAGCTTAAAATCTAAAAATATTAATTTATCTACGAGAATAACTTACCAAAAAAAATAAAAAATATGACTTTGGAAAGGAAATAATTCCGTAATAAAAAAAATATTTTAATAGGAAGAGAATAACTAATCAAGAAATTTTCAAATTTGTCTCCAATTAGATTTCCTAAGATCTGAGGTGGCCAACCGACCCACCTTCCTAACTTTTTACACTCTTGGTATTCAGCTCAATGAAGATGTCTGGAGATAGGGCTTTAGTGAAGACATCAACAACTTGAAGATGAGTTGGAATGTAGATCAATGTCACCATTGACCTTTTCAGAGATGAGATATTTGTGAAAGTCAATCTGATTGGTGTTGCCATGATGCACAAGATTTTTTGCAATACTAATGACGGCTTGGCTAAAATTGACCATTGAGTATCCTAACTTACCACATTCCTTCAAAAATTCCCAAAGCAAGAGTTTGATACTCAAACTTCGCACTATTTCTAGTGACAATTCTTTCTTTTTGCCCCTCTCTTCACAATTAGCATCAATGTAACCGTCCACCTCCCTGTTGTTTGATTTCTTAAAGAGTAACCCGTTGTTAGGGGTTCTTAAGAAACGTCAACATTATATAAATCATCTCTAAATTTTCTTCATTTAGACTATTCATATTTTAATTAACAATGATTATAGAGAACAATATCAAGCCTAGTGTGTGATAGGAAAATAAGTTTACCTACAAGTCTCTGGTATCTACTCTTTTCCACTAGTATCTTTTCTCCTATTGAATGTAACTTTTTGTTGAAATTCACAGGAGTCTCAACAAATGTGCACCACAACATTCATGTCCCTTTAAGTAGGTCTAGGATATATTTTCTTTGGGATATCATAATACCCATCTTGAGATCCTGAATTCCAAACTTAATGGCAATAACCTACTTATTCTTCCCAGTCCCTTTTTCATCATCACCTATCAGGATCATATCATTTACATGGATAATGAGTATAGCCTTCTTACCTCTTTGTGTATGCTTTATAAACATCGTATGATCCGATTGGCATTGAATATACCCATTAAATTTATAGTCTTAGCAAAATTATCAAACCAAGATCATAGAGATTATTTAAGACCATAAAGTGACTTTCTTAGTTTACAAATCAGATGTTTAATTGAGTTATTTTCCAATCCAGGTGGAATTTTCATAAACACATCTTCCTGAAGGTCACC